AAAATCAAATGGCTGTGATTTCGGTTTTTATGAGATTGTTGTTTTGTTTGTTTTTCCTCACCTCTCTGATAGACATTGCTTTGAATTTTTTTGCAGCCAGTGATTTCACCATGTATCCTTTCTCAACACAAAACTCCAAAGACTTTGAAAACTTGCTGTCTGTTTATCTGGATGCAGCCTTCTTTCCACACCTTCGAGAACAGGACTTTTGGTTAGTTTAATAGCATTTTTGGCAGAGTCAGAATCGGAGTCATGTACAAATGTATCTCATGCCGCATGCATGTCAATCTGCAGGCTTGTTCTGAACCAGTAATTTTTCATTTCAAACTCCTAATAACTTAATTACTTGTACATGTATTAATGTTCTCCACAGCATGGCAACCAACAAAACTTTTAATTTAATTTAATAATAATTTGATTTAATTTATTATAAGAAAATTGCACCATAGGATTAAGTTTTGGGTTACATCTTAATTTGCCCTGGCACAGTTTATACACTTTAGCCATATCATGAACTCAAGACACTTCTTATTATTTCTACAAATACGTTTCTATTGTAACCTATCTACATATAAATTACCTTTATTTCTTGTACCAGGCAGGAAGGCTGGCGATTGGAACCTGAAGATTTGTCCAATCCTGATTCACCAATGATTTTTAAGGGAGTGGTGTTCAATGAAATGAAAGGTGCCATGGTAAGTCTATTTTCAAAACTAATGTCATAATTGTGTTGTTTTGGTTAACAATATTGTTTCTTAAATGTCTAATTGAAGCTTAGCCTGCGAATGCAGACGTATTTCCGGCTGTCTCTTGTCTCCGCCAAAAATAACGTCTGGGAACCCAAGCCAGGAAATGATTTCTGTGACATAGGAATTTTAAGCGAATGACAGTTTAGCTCAAGTAGCCCTAGAACTACTGCTGCAAGGAGCACTTGAGTTTTATTCTATCATGGAATCTAATTGGCCAAGGAGAAACAAAAGTCACTACGTCACAGAAATCTTTTCCTGGCTTGAGTTCGCAGACATTATTTTTGGTGGAGACAAGCGATAGCCAGAAATACATCTGCGTTTGCAGGTTAATTGAAGCTTGAATTACAGATTTTTGATCATTTTCCATCATTCTCAACTTTTGATTAACTGGACTCAT